TAAGACTAAAACTGGACTAAAACTGGACTAATCCAGGATTAAAACAGCCCTCACGCTCTCCTCAGGGTCACATTGACCTGAATTTTTTTTTCCCTTCTCTTTCTTCCGCTCTCTTGGGGCGGGTCAATCAGCCCCCAAAAATTATTTTCAAACAAATTCTCGCCAGGCAAGAAAATAAAATTTTGGGGAGAGCGTGAGGTTAAGACAGGACTAAAACAGGGACTGAACCTGGACTAAAACAGGGACTGAACCTGGACTAAAACAGGGACTGAAAAACAGGGACTGAACCTGGACTAAAACAGGACTAAAACTGGGACTAGATCAGGACTCAAACAGGATTTAATTTATACGTGATCGTGTTTTTAAATAGTTTTGTCGTGTTTTTGTAGGTTTGCGGGTCAGGTCGGGTACGTGATTGTGTTTTTTTCATAGTTTTGTCGTGTTTTTGTAGGTTTGCGGGTCAGGTCGGGTACGTGATTGTGTTTTTTTTAAATAGTTTTGTCGTGTTTTTGTAGGTTTGCGGGTCAGGTCGGGTACGTGATTGTGTTTTTTTCATAGTTTTGTCGTGTTTTTGTAGGTTTGCGGGTCAGGTCGGGTACGTGATTGTGTTTTTTTCATAGTTTTGTGTTTTTAGGTACGTTTTGTCGTGTTTTTGTAGGTTTGCGGGTCAGGTCGGGTACGTGATTGTGTTTTTTTCATAGTTTTGTCGTGTTTTTGTAGGTTTGCGGGTCAGGTCGGGTACGTGATTGTGTTTTTTTTCATGTTTTTTTTTTCATAGTTTTGTCGTGTTTTTTGTAGGTTTGCGGGTCAGGTCGGGTACGTGATTGTGTTTTTTTCATAGTTTTGTCGTGTTTTTGTAGGTTTGCGGGTCAGGTCGGGTACGTGATTGTGTTTTTTTCATAGTTTTGTCGTGTTTTTTTCATAGTTTTGTCGTGTTTTTGTAGGTTTGCGGGTCAGGTCGGGTACGTGATTGTGTTTTTTTCATAGTTTTGTCGTGTTTTTGTAGGTTTGCGGGTCAGGTCGGGTACGTGATTGTGTTTTTTTCATAGTTTTGTCGTGTTTTTGTAGGTTTGCGGGTCAGGTCGGGTACGTGATTGTGTTTTTTCATAGTTTTGTCGTGTTTTTGTAGGTTTGCGGGTCAGGTCGGGTACGTGATTGTGTTTTTTTAAATAGTTTTGTCGTGTTTTTGTAGGTTTGCGGGTCAGGTCGGGTACGTGATTGTGTTTTTTTAAATAGTTTTGTCGTGTTTTTGTAGGTTTGCGGGTCAGGTCGGGTACGTGATTGTGTTTTTTTTCATAGTTTTGTCGTGTTTTTGTAGGTTTGCGGGTCAGGTCGGGTACGTGATTGTGTTTTTTTTCATAGTTTTGTCGTGTTTTGTGTAGGTTTGCGGGTCAGGTCGGGTACGTGATTGTGTTTTTTTCATAGTTTTGTCGTGTTTTTGTAGGTTTGCGGGTCAGGTCGGGTACGTGATTGTGTTTTTTTCATAGTTTTGTCGTGTTTTTGTAGGTTTGCGGGTCAGGTCGGGTACGTGATTGTGTTTTTTTCATAGTTTTGTCGTGTTTTTGTAGGTTTGCGGGTCAGGTCGGGTACGTGATTGTGTTTTTTTCATAGTTTTGTCGTGTTTTTTGTAGGTTTGCGGGTCAGGTCGGGTACGTGATTGTGTTTTTTTCATAGTTTTGTCGTGTTTTTGTAGGTTTGCGGGTCAGGTCGGGTACGTGATTGTGTTTTTTCATAGTTTTGTCGTGTTTTTGTAGGTTTGCGGGTCAGGTCGGGTACGTGATTGTGTTTTTTTCATAGTTTTGTCGTGTTTTTGTAGGTTTGCGGGTCAGGTCGGGTACGTGATTGTGTTTTTTTCATAGTTTGTGTCGTGTTTTTTTAGGTTTGCGGGTCAGGTCGGGTACGTGATTGTGTTTTTTTTTCATAGTTTTGTCGTGTTTTTGTAGGTTTGCGGGTCAGGTCGGGTACGTGATTGTGTTTTTTTTTAATAGTTTTGTCGTGTTTTTGTAGGTTTGCGGGTCAGGTCGGGTACGTGATTGTGTTTTTTTTTCATAGTTTTGTGGTGTTTTTGTAGGTTTGCGGGTCAGGTCGGGTACGTGATTGTGTTTTTTTTTAAATAGTTTTGTTGTGTTTTTGTAGGTTTGCGGGTCAGGTCGGGTACGTGATTGTGTTTTTTTCATAGTTTTGTCGTGTTTTTGTAGGTTTGCGGGTCAGGTCGGGTACGTGATTGTGTTTTTTCATAGTTTTGTCGTGTTTTTGTAGGTTTGCGGGTCAGGTCGGGTACGTGATTGTGTTTTTTTCATAGTTTTGTCGTGTTTTTTTTGTAGGTTTGCGGGTCAGGTCGGGTACGTGATTGTGTTTTTTTCATAGTTTTGTCGTGTTTTTGTAGGTTTGCGGGTCAGGTCGGGTACGTGATTGTGTTTTTTTCATAGTTTTGTCGTGTTTTTGTAGGTTTGCGGGTCAGGTCGGGTACGTGATTGTGTTTTTTTCATAGTTTTGTTGTGTTTTTGTAGGTTTGCGGGTCAGGTCGGGTCGGGTACGTGATTGTGTTTTTTAATAGTTTTGTCGTGTTTTTGTAGGTTTGCGGGTCAGGTCGGGTACGTGATTGTGTTTTTTTCATAGTTTTGTCGTGTTTTTTAGGTTTGCGGGTCAGGTCGGGTACGTGATTGTGTTTTTTCATAGTTTTGTCGTGTTTTTGTAGGTTTGCGGGTCAGGTCGGGTACGTGATTGTGTTTTTTTCATAGTTTTGTCGTGTTTTTGTAGGTTTGCGGGTCAGGTCGGGTACGTGATTGTGTTTTTTTCATAGTTTTGTCGTGTTTTTGTAGGTTTGCGGGTCAGGTCGGGTACGTGATCGCCGGGATGAAGGACGTGAAAGAGGCTCAGATCGGAGATACTCTGTTTCTCCAGACGGAGGCGCCGGTGGAGCCTCTGCCCGGATTTAAACCGGCCAAACCCATGGTGTTTGCAGGTGAAGAGAAGGAGGAGATGATGCTGTGACCTCTGACCTCGGACACAGAGCTGTTTGTAATCGAGGTCCTTTCTGGTTCAGGGATGTTCCCCGTGGATCAGTCCGAGTACTCGGGGCTCCGCAGCGCCATCGAGAGGCTCACACCTCAACGACTCCAGCGTCACTGTGCAGAAAGACAGCAGCCTGGCCCTGGGAGCGGGCTGGAGGTGCCCCTGAAACTGGACTGAAACTGGACTAAAACTGGGACTGAAACTGGATGAAGCCAGGATTGAAACTGGGACTGAAAGTGTCCTGAAACTGGGTCTAAAACAGGACTAAACCAAGACTGAAACTGGACTGAAACTGAACTAAACCAGGACTGAAAATCGGTCTAAAACAGGATTGAAACTGGACTAAGGTAGGGTCTAAAACAGGGGCAAAACAGGACTGAAACTGGACTGAAACTGGGTTTAAAACTGGACAAAACTGGGTCTAAAACAGAACTGAACCTGGACTAAAACATGGTCTAAAACAGGCTATAACAGGACTGAACAAGACTGACATATGGTCTAAAAGAGGGTCTAAAACTGGACTAAACAGGACTGAACCAGGACTAAAAGGACTAAACCAGTTCTGATCCAGGACCGGTGTGACCCTGTAGATGAGTCCTTCTGACCCGTGGTGTTCTTCAGGCTGGGCTTCCTGGGGCTTCTGCACATGGAGGTGTTTAACCAACGTCTGGAGCAGGAACACGACGCCAACGTGATCATCACCGCACCAACCGTCCCCTACAAGGCCCTGCTCTCCTCCGCCAAACTCATCAAGGTCTGAACCGGGACTAACCAGGTCAACAGGACTAAGGTCTAAACTGAAACTGGACTAAACAGGACTAAACCAGGACTAAACCAGGTAAACCAGGTCTAAACCAGGACTAAACCAGGACTAAACCAGGTCTAAACCAGGTCTAAACCAAGGACTAAACCAGGACTAAAACCAGGACTAAACCAGGACTAAACCAGGTCTAAACCAGGTCTAAACCAGGTCTAAACCAGGACTAACCAGGACTAAACCAGGAAAACCAGGACTAACCTAAACCAGGTCTAAACCAGCTAAACCAGACTAAAACCAGGACTTAAACCAGGACTAAACCAGGACTAAACCAGGTCTTAAACTGGTCTAAACCAGGTCTAAACCAGGACTAAACCAGGACCTAAATCCAGGACTAAAACCAGGACTGAACCAGGACTAAACCAGGACTAAACCAGGACTGAAACCAGGACTGAAACCAGGGTCTGAACCACCCAGGACTAACCAGGACTGAACCAGGACTAACAGGACTAACTAGGACTAAACCAGGACTAAACCAGGACTAAACTGAACCTGAACTAGGACTAAACCAGGACTAAACCAGGACTAACCAGGACTGAACCAGACTAACTAGACTAAAACCAGGTCTAAACCAGGACTAAACCAGTCTAAAGGACCCAGGACTAAACAAACCAGGACTAAACCAGGACTAAACCAGGACTAAACCAGGTCTAAACCAGGACTAAACCAGGACTAAACTAGGACTAAACCAGGGACTAAACCAGGACTACCAGGACTAACCAGGACTAAACCAGGACTAAAACCAGGACTAAACCAGGACTAAAGACTAACGTCTGAACGGTCTAAACCAGGACCAAACCAAGACTAAACCAGTCTGAACCAGGACTAACCGGGTCTGAACCAGGACTAAACCAGGACTAAACAGGACTAAACCAGGACTAAACCAGGACTAAACCAGGTCTAAACCAGGTCTAAACCAGGACTAAACCAGGTAAACCAGGTCTAAACCAGGACTAAACCAGGACTAAACCAGGACTAAACCAGGACTAAACCAGGTCTAAACCAGGACTAAACCAGGACTAAACCAGGTAAATAAACCAGGGACTAAACCAGGACTAAACCAGGACTAAACCAGGACTAAACCAGGACTAAATCAGGACTAAACCAGGACTAAACCAGGTCTAAACCAGGTCTAAACCAGGTCTTTTGTGTCTTCAGGAACACGGCAGTGAGGAGATCACCATAGTGAACCCGGCCCAGTTCCCAGACCGGTCCCAGGTCTCTCAGTACCTGGAGCCCGTCGTCGTGGGAACCATTTTAGCTCCGGACGATTACACCGGGAAGATCCTGAGTCTGTGCGCGGTGAGTCCCAGCGTCCGTCCGTCCGTGTGCAGCGTTTGGATTTACCGTTTCAGTTATTTCTGAAACATTTAAAAAAAACAAATGCACAAACGCAGACGGTCACAGTCTCCACACTGTCTCATCCCATTTGTGTTTATTGTTTTAGTCCAGATTAAATCAAATAAGTCTACGTTCAGTCTGCAGGTTTAACGCTCAATTCAGATTTTTTTTGTGAAATCCAATGTTTTTTCGAGCTCGTTCACATTTCCAGTTAAATGTGACTTGTATGTGACTCCAGTGTGAACATTAAACGGTCCAAAAGTGTCCCACATGTGACACTGGAGACACGACGACGTCAACCGCAGCGAGCGTCTCTGTGTTTACACAAGTTGAACAAACATGGACGCAGCATCGAGCACCTGGAGATTTTAAAGTTCCTCTCGTACCGGAGCCACAACATGAACAACTTACTTGTTTTAAGGAGGAGATTGAGAAGGAGAAGGACCAGGTTTTTGGTCCTGGTGTTTTGTGGTGAGTGGAGATGTGCTTCGTTCATGAACAGTTTTCTCTACTTCAGTGCAGAATAGTGACGTTTGTGTCTTGTTGATGACGTGTAGGTGGATGAATGTGACCTGATCGTTCACACTCAAGTCACATGTTAAAGATCAGATATGGATCAGTTTCAGGAGCACAGATCCAAGTGTCCTGGGTCATGTTTGAAAAAATCAGATCTGTGTGGTTCAGACTGTCAATAAAAGATCAAATACAGGAACATAGAGACCAAAATATTGGAATATCGATATATCGTATCGTTTAATGTGATGATACAGTATCGATATCGTGGGCTACTGTATCAATATATCAGCAAGAGTATTTTTAGGTGTGTTTTACTGAATTATTTTGTTACAGCTACAGTTCTGTTGCTTGTGGAGTGAAAGGAAACTCGTTTATGCGACACATTTGACATTTTTACTGTTTTGATGATTAAAATGTTTGTGTTTCATATGAACTTTGCACAAGAAGAAGTGGTTTAACAAAGACTTTTAGTATCGCAGAACATGATTTAGACTTGATTTTTTATTGAACCGTATCGAATCGATTTGAAATATATCGTATCGAATCGAAAGTTCACTGTATCGAGATATGTATCGTATCGTGGCCTGTGTATCGAGGTGTGTATCGTATCGTGATCTGTGTATCGAGGTGTGTATCGTATCGTGGCCTGTGTATCGAGGTGTGTATCGTATCGTGGCCTGTGTATCGAGGTGTGTATCGTATCGTGTGCCGTGTATCGAGGTGTGTATCGTATCGTGTGCGTGTATCGTGTGTGTATCGATCGGTGTGTATCGTATCGTGGCCTGTGTATCGTGTGTATCGTGGGCCTGTGTATCGTGTGTATCGTATCGTGGCCTGTGTATCGAGGTGTGTATCGTAATCGTGGCCTGTGTATCGAGTCGTGTGTGTATCGTATCGTGGCCCGTGTATCGAGGTGTGTATCGTATCGTGGCCTGTGTAATCGTATCGTGTGCCTGTGTATCGTATCGTGGCCTGTGTATCGAGGTGTGTATCGTATCGTGGCCTGTGTATCGTATCGTGGATCGTGTGTATCGGGGTGTGTGTGTATCGTATCGTGGCCTGTGTATCGAGGTGTGTATCGTATCGTGGCCTGTGTATCGGGATGTGTATCGTATCGTGGCCTGTGTATCGAGGTGTATCGTATCGTATCGTGGCCTGTGTGTATCGAGGTGTGTATCGTATCGTGCCTGTGTATCGTAGGTGTGTATCGTATCGTGTATCGTGTGCCTGTGTATCGTATCGTGGCCTGTGTATCGAGGTGTGTATCGTATCGTGGCCTGTGTATCGAGGTGTGTATCGTGCGTGGCCTGTGTATCGAGGTGTGTATCGTATCGTGGCCTGTGTATCGGGGTGTGTATCGTATCGTGGCCTGTGTATCGAGGTGTGTACCAGCCCTACTTCAGGCTGCAGTCTGGTTTTTCGTTGAGTAAACTGCCAGGCCGCTTGTCTAATTAAAGCCCCACTGTGTAACATTTCAGCCAATCATCTGCCCGAATGTGATAAACTGTATTTGGTTCACTGCAGCTGCTTTTGTCGCACCTGGGCGTGAGGGATCCAGCTCTATGGAAATGTTCCGCAGTGAAGCTTTAAGCGTGTGTCTCCCTTCAGAGTCGTAGAGGAGCGTCTCGTGGTTGGTGAAATGTTCCGCAGTGGGTCTTTAATCGTGTTCTTCTCCTCAGAGTCGCAGAGGAGAACAGAGGAGCCTGTTGTACATCGACGACCATCGCGTGATGATGAAATACACGTTTCCCCTGAACGAGATCGTGGTCGACTTCTACGACCTGCTCAAGTCCATGTCCTCAGGATACGCCAGGTGAGGCGACGGGCAGAGGGCGACGGGTGAGGGCGACAGGTGAGGGCGACGGGTGAGGGCGACAGGTGAGGGCGACGGGTGAGGGCGACAGGCGAGGGCGACGGGTGAGGGCGACAGGTGAGGGCGGTGACGACAGGGAGGGCGACAGGTGAGGGCGACGACGAGGAGGGCGACAGGGTGAGGGCCGGGTGAGGGCGACAGGGACGGGGTGAGGGCGACGGTGAGACAGGTGACAGGTGAGGGAGTGACAGGTGAGGAGGGCGACGGGCAGGGTGAAGCCGACAGGTGAGGGCGACAGGTGAGGGCGACAGGTGAGGCAGGTGAGGGCAGGTGAGGGACGACAGGTGAGGGCGAGGCGAGGCTGAGGCGACAGGTGAGGCAGAGGGCACGGTGAGGCTGAGGTGACAGGTGAGGGCGACAGGTGAGGCTGACAGGTGAGGCCGACAGGTGAGGGTGACAGGTGAGGGCGACAGGTGACAGGCTGACAAATCTCCAAACTTCTGCTGCACAGGTTTTTCGTTGTTTGTTTGGGATCAGCTCCACAAACTCGTCACATTAATCTTCTGTTTTACAGGTTTTATATTGTGCAAAATTAAAATATGAAAATTAAATCTGCAGGTTTGTTTGTTAAACTTGTGTGAATGAAACAAAACACAACTTTTTTTTTTTTTTTTATTAAATTTTTTTTAAGTTCTTTCAGCTCCCAGCTGAAGGTTCGTTCACACCAAAGCGTCAAAAAACTTCTTGACGTTTCTATTTGGAGCCTTTGTATTTGAGTTCAGACCCCGACGCTCGTGTCTTTGACGCCGTGGACGAACGGGAGAAAAATACTTGACGCGCGTCCGTTGCCCTGGAAACAAGAGCCCGGTCCTGGACTTTTCCCGAAACAATGTCAGACCAGACTGAGACTTTAGTGTTTTTATCACATAAAACATCAGCGGAGGAAATCAGGTCGACGACTGGAGCCAGTTTATATTTATACTCCACTAATGACACTGGATCAGTCCTGGTCTAATCACAGTCTAGTCCTTGTTTAGTCCTTGTTTAGTCCTGGTTTAGTCCGGGTTTAGTCCTGGTTTAGTCCTGGTTTAGTCCGGGTTTAGTCCTGGTTTAGTCCTGGTTCAGTCCTGGTTTAGTCCGGGTTTAGTCCTGTTTAGTCCTGGTTTTAGTCCTGGTTTAGTCTGGTTTAGTTCTGGTTTAGTCCTGGTTTAGTTCTGGTTTAGTCCTGGTTTAGTTCTGGTTTAGTCCTGGTTTAGTCTGGTTTAGTCCTTTTAGTTGGTTTAGTCCTGGTTAGTCCTGGTTTAGTTGGTTTAGTTCTGGTTTAGTCCTGGTTTAGTCCTGGTTTAGTCCTGGTTTAGTCCTGGTTTAGTCCTGGTTTAGTTGTTTTAGTCTGGTTTAGTTGGTTTGACCTGGTTTAGTCCTGGTTTAGGTTTAGTCCTGGTTTAGTTCTGGTTTAGTCCTGGTTTAGTTTGGTTTAGTCCTGTTTAGTGGTTTGTCCTGGTTTAGTTCTGGTTTAGTTCTGGTTAGTCTGGTTAGACCTGTTTAGTGGTTTAGTCTGTTTAGTCCTGGTTTAGTTCTGGTTGTTTAGTTCTGGTTTAGTCCTGGTTTAGGTTTAGTCCTGGTTTAGTCCTGTTAGTTTGGTTTAGTTGGTTTAGTCTGTTTAGTCTGGTTTAGTCTGGTTTAGTTCTGGTTTAGTCCTGGTTTAGTTCTGGTTTAGTCCTTGGTTTAGTTCTGGTTTAGTCCTGGTTTAGTTGGTTTAGTGGTTTAGCGGTTTAGTCCTGTTTAGTTTTTCCTGGTTTAGTTCCTGGTTTAGTCCGGTTTATAGTCCGGTTTAGTCCTGGTTTAGTTGGTTAGTCGTGGTTCCTGGTTTAGTCTGGTTTAGTCCTGGTTTAGTCCTGGTTTAGTCTGGTTTAGTCCTGGTTTAAGTCCTGGTTTTAGTTCTGTTTAGACCTGGTTTAGTCCTGGTTTAGTCCTGGTTTAGTCCTGGTTTAGTTTTTGGTTTAGTTTCTGGTTTGGTTTAGACCTGGTTTAGTCCTGGTTTAGTCCTGGTTTAGTCCTGGTTTAGACCTTTTAGACCTGTTTAGTTTAGTCCTGGTTTAGTCTGGTTTAGACCTGGTTTAGTCCTGTTTAGTTCTGGTTAGTCCTGGTTTAGTTCTGGTTTAGTCCTGGTTTAGTTCTGGTTTAGTCCTGGTTTAGTCTGTTTAGTTCTGGTTTAGTTCTGGTTTAGTCCCTGGTTTAGACCTGGTTTAGTCCTCTGGTTTACCTGTTTAGTCTGGTTTAGTTCTGGTTTAGTCCTGGTTTAGTTCTGGTTTAGTCCTGTTTTGTCCTGTTTAGTCCTGGTTTTCTGTTTTGGTTTAGTTCTGGTTTAGTCCTGGTTTAGTCCTGGGTTTAGTTCCTGGTTTAGTTCTGGTTTAGTCCTGGTTTTAGTTCTGGTTTAGTTCCTGGTTTAGTTCCTGGTTTAGTTCTGGTTTAGTCCTGGTTAGGTTCTGGTTTAGTCCTGGTTTAGTCCTGGTTTAGTTCTGGTTTAGTCTGGTTTAGTCCTGGTTTAGTTCCCTGTTTTCCTGGTAGTCCTGGTTTAGTTCCTGGTTTTAGTTAGTTCTGGTTTAGTCCTGGTTTAGTCTGGTTTAGTTCTGGTTTAGTCCTGGTTTAGTTCTGGTTTAGTCCTGGTTTAGTTCTGGTTTAGTCCTGGTTTAGTCCTGGTTTAGTCCTGGTTTAGTCTGGTTTAGTTTCTGGTTTAGTCCTGGTTTTAGTCCTGGTTTAGTTCTGGTTTAGTTCTGGTTTAAGTCCTGGTTTAGTTCTGGTTTAGTCCCTGGTTTAGTCTGGTTTAGTTTGGTTTAGTCTGGTTTAGTTCTGGTTTAGTCCTGGTTTAGTTCTGGTTTAGTCCTGGTTTAGTTCTGGTTTAGTCTGGTTTAGTTCTGGTTTAGTCTGGTTTAGTTCTGGTTTGTCCTGGTTTAGTTCTGGTTTAGTCCTGGTTTAGTTCTGGTTTAGTTTCTGGTTTAGTTCCTGTTTAGTTCTGGTTTAGTCCTGGTTTAGTTTCTGGTTTAGTCCTGGTTTAGTTCTGGTTTAGTTCTGGTTTAGTTCTGGTTTAGTCTGTTATCTGTTTTTTCATTTTGGTTTTGGAGACAAATAATGAAGAAATTTTTTTGGTTTTTTTCATTTTCTTATTTTTTATTTTATTTTGAAAAACGAATGAACGAACGACACACGGATTCACCTGTCTCACCTGTCTCACCTGTCTCACCTGTCGGTCCTGTCTCCAGCCTGTCCCTGTCCTCCTGTCCGTCTCTGAGGACTGTGGACTTAAACCTGTTTCTGTTTGTTTCAGTTTCGATTATGAAAACGCAGGATATGAAGCTGCAGATCTGATCAAGATGGAGATTCTCCTGAACGGACGAACAGTGGAGGAGCTCACCACCATCGTCCACAGGTCAGAGCACTCAGGTCACGACCAGAGCTCACCACCATCGTCCACAGGTCAGAGCACTCAGGTCACGACCAGAGCTCACCACCATCGTCCACAGGTCAGAGCACTCAGGTCACGACCAGAGCTCACCACCATCGTCCACAGGTCAGAGCACTCAGGTCACGACCTCAGTCCACAAGTCAGAGCACTCACAGACAGAGCTCACCACCATCGTCCACAGGTCAGAGCACTCAGGTCACGACCAGAGCTCACCACCATCGTCCACAGGTCAGAGCACTCAGGTCACGACCAGAGCTCACCACCATCGTCCACAGGTCAGAGCACTCAGGTCACGACCAGAGCACTCAGGTCACGACCAGAGCTCACCACCATCGTCCACAGGTCAGAGCACTCAGGTCACGACCAGAGCTCACCACCATCGTCCACAGGTCAGAGCACTCAGGTCACGACCAGACTCAGGTCACGACCAAGCACTCAGGTCACGACCAGAGCACTCAGGTCACGACCAGAGCACTCAGGTCACGACCAGAGCACTCAGGTCAGACCAGAGCTCACCACCATCGTCCACAGGTCAGAGCACTCAGGTCACGACCAGAGCTCACCACCATCGTCCAGTCACCAGGTCACGACAGAGCTCACCACCATCGTCCCAGGTCAGAGCACTCAGGTCACGACCAGAGCTCACCACCATCGTCCACAGTCAGCACTCAGGTCAGACCAGGACCAGAGCACTCAGGTCATGACCAGAGCTCAGGTCAGGACCTGTAGTTCTAATGATGACAATCTTCTTTCTCATGAGACCGTGTGTACAGGGACCTGGTCTTTGTAGTTTTTTTAGCTGTGTATTTGTAGTTTTATTGATATTTTCTTTCTCATGGACCGTGTGTACACTGACCTGGTCTTTGTAGTTTTTTAGCTGTGTATTTGTAGTTTTATTGATATTTTCTTTCTCAGGGACCGCGCCTACACGACGGGTAAATCCATGTGCGAGCGCCTGAAAGACTCGATCCCTCGTCAGATGTTTGAGATCGCGGTTCAGGCGGCGGTCGGGAGTAAAGTCATCGCCAGGGAAACGTGAGTAAACAAATATATGAATAATGTTGGAATAATCAATAATCGGTCGTCTAAACTTGCGTGTGTCTCAGGATTAAAGCGTACAGGAAAAACGTGCTCGCCAAATGTGTAAGTCTCATGTCATTTACTCGTTATTTCTAAACTAAAAAACTTTAAAATGTCATGTGAAAACAGCGAATTTACCCCTGATGCCCTCCCGCCCTGTGTGTCGTCAGTACGGAGGCGACATCACGAGGAAGATGAAGCTGCTGAAGCGACAGGCCGAAGGAAAAAAGAAAATGAGACGCATCGGGAACGTGGACGTGCCCAAAGACGCCTTCATCAGCGTTTTAAAGAGGAAGGACAAATAAAACGACAAAAAAACAACGACAAAAACTACAGACGGGAGACGGGACGAGTTTAACAGAGTTTTAAAGACAAAAAAAAGGACAAACAGAAGGAGAAAGAGGATCAGTGTTGAGGAGTAACAGATTACAAGTACCGGAGTAATCAGAGTACAAATGATGAGTAACTGTATTCAGTTACAGTTACTGTTTCAGTGAGTGGGAATTGGATTACAGTTACTTTGTTCAAATAAATGGATTACACAGAGAAATAAACCAGGACTAAACCAGGACTAAACCAGGACTAAACCAGGACTAAACCAGGACTAAACCAGGACTAAACCAGGTCTAAACCAGGTAAACAGGACTAAACCAGGACTAAACCAGGTCTAAACCAGGTCTAAACCAGGACTAAACCAGGTTAAAACCAGGACTAAACCAGGTCTAAACCAGGTCTAAACCAGGACTAAACCAGGACTAAACCAGGACTAAACCAGGACTAAACCAGGTCTAAACCAGGACTAAACCAGGACTAAACCAGGACTAAACCAGGTCTAAACCAGGTCTAAACCAGGTAAACCAGGACTAACCAGGTAACCAGGACTAAACCAGGTCTAAACCAGGACTAAACCAGGACTAAACCAGGACTAAACCAGGTCTAAACCAGGTCTAAAACAGGACTAAACCAGGTCTAAACCAGGACTAAACCAGGTCTAAACCAGGTCTAAACCAGGTCTAAACCAGGACTAAACCAGGACTAAACCAGGACTAAACCAGGTCTAAACCAGGTCTAAACCAGGTCTAAACCAGGACTAAACCAGGACTAAACCAGGTCCAAACCAGGACTAAACCAGGTCTAAACCAGGACTAAACCAGGACTAAACCAGGACTAAAGGTCTAAACCAGGTCTAAACCAGGACTAAACCAGGTCTAAACCAGGTCTAAACCAGGACTAAAACCAGGTCTAAACCAGGACTAAACCAGGACTAAAACAGGTCTAAACCAGGACTAAACCAGGTCTAAACCAGGTCTAAACCAGGACTAAACCAGGTCTAAACCAGGTCTAAACCAGGTCTAAACCAGGTCTAAACCAGGTCTAAACCAGGACTAAACCAGGTCTAAACCAGGACTAAACCAGGTCTAAACCAGGACTAAACCAGGTCTAAACCAGGACTAAACCAGGACTAAACCAGGTCTAAAACCAGGTCTAAACCAGGTCTAAACCAGGACTAAACCAGGTAAACCAGGTCTAAACCAGGACTAAACCAGGTCTAAACCAGGACTAAACCAGGACTAAACCAGGTCTAAACCAGGTCTAAACCAGGTCTAAACCAGGACTAAACCAGGCTAAACTAGGTCTAAACCAGGTCTAAATCCTCGTCTTTTATCAATAATATTTTTAATTTGGTTCAGTAAAGTTTGGACTTTTCATTTTCTTTTATCAAACAAAACTTCTTGTTTTAACATTTTCTCGTCTTTGTTTCTCTACAGTAAATCAAGTAATCCAAAGTAATCAGATTACATTACTCACTTTAAGTCATTTAATGGATTACGTTACAAACTACATTCTGGTGTGTGTAATCTGTAATCTGTAATCTGTAGGGGATTACATTTTAAAAGTAACTTCCCAACACTGTCCAAGAGCCACGAAACACCAAAAACACTTTAATACTGATGTGAATGAGTCAGGGACAAATAAAAACGACTTTGTGAAGAGAAGAAAGATGCAGAGAACAAACCTGAACCTCACCTGTAAATAATGAAGAGAAATATTTAATTTAAGGTTTGGAATAAAATGGAGAAAAACCAAATGTGTGTTTTTGCTTTAAATACATTATAATATTATTTATTCATGAAATTAACTGATGAAATCTTTAAGGTAAATTCAAATGTGTTAAGTTGAGTAAGTTTTTTTATTATTCCCCACAGTTTCTTAGGGTTCAGTCAAGTGTTAACGGAGGAAACAGGGTCAGATTTTTGACATTCAAATGTGTCTTATTCAGAAACTAGAGGAACTATTGAAATAAGTAAAGTATCAGAATGTAGGAAAGAGTTACACTCCAACAGGGTCAAGTTAAACCTGTGAGATTCTTTCAAGTTCAAGACAAAAAATGTAAAAACTCATGTCGGTGACGGAGGGAATGAAATATGCAGCACTTTTTGGTCAATAAATCCAAACAGTGATAACTCTTGGTTCTCACTTCCATATCCTTAACAAACTGGTCTGAATATTTGCTTCATATAGTTTTCTACCATATGGTACAAGATTAGGTTGAAAAACCTCTGACTTTTTGACTCATGAGATTTTTTATTAAGAAAGTTCATGGTAACGGAGGGAAAAGTAACGGAGGGAAAATTGTACAAACAAGTAGAAGGTGCAGGATTTTACATCATTTGTCACTTTTTTTCTTCTGAAAACTTTAATATTACTTCAAAATGAAAGAAACTATTTCTATAAAATATGTCAGTCTTCCAAGAACATTTTTATCATTTTAAATATATATATTTTTTTAAATCCTGTCCCTTCATCAACAGTTCAAAGATGGAATAACACAAGATATGATGAAATACAAACATTTATTTACATGATTTTCAGGTCTTTGAAATTTGGGAAATAATTTTTGTTCCATGTTTCATACATGGTCTGTTTAAAACATATGGAACTTTAGAACCAAAAATGGAACAGAAAAAAGGTCAACAGTTTCATAAACTAGAGTACATATGTATCTGTTCAATACATTTTTATATCAGATGAATTAACTTGAATTTTTGGCCTTGATGTTTACTTCTGTTTGACTGGGCCCCAAGATAAAACTGACCGTTGTCCTACTCCAGATTGTCCAGGAGGTGGCGACAGAGGGTTCATTTTGAAATAAACAAAAAGGTGTGTGTGTGTGTGTGTGTGTATGTATGTATATATATATGTATTATATATATAATATATATATATATATATATATATATATATATATATATATAATATATATATATATATATATATTAATTAATTAATTAACCCTGAAAATACATAAACATATCAAAGTGTTTTATAGAACGTGCACAATCCCTTTTTTCCTTTTTATTTGTTTATTCATTTATTTTTTGTGTATAATTTGCTCATTAGTTTATTGAATGTTTTTCGTCTATACCAGGGGTGTCAAACTCATTTTGGTCCAGGGGCCGGATCCAGTGTCTCAAACGTACTTAAAACACACTTCTGGAGCCTCCGTGATCTGCTCCTCGGGAGGCACCACAAACCTCAGAAAGTGGGACTTTACCTGAACTGTCCCAGAAAAGCTCTGTCCTTCTACAGCGCCTCCACCAGCTTGGCCTCCACCAGCTTGGCCTCCACCAGCTTGGCCTCCACCAGCTTGGCCTCCACCAGCTGGCCTCCACCAGCTTGGCCTCCACCAGCTTGGCCTCCACCAGCTTGGCCTCCACCAGCTTGGCCTCCACCAGCTTCCCCGTGTCCGCGCTCTTCGGTTTGGGGAAGACGCTGTGCAGTCCTCTGGTGGTGTGCAGTCCTCTGGTGGTGTGCAGACACGGAGCTCACAGTGAACCTCTGGGGTGAGGAGAAACGTCACGCCGAGCTCCTGGAGGAGGACCTCACTGGAGGAGGACCTCACTGGAGGAGGACCTCACTGGAGGAGGACCTCACTGGAGGAGGACCTCACTGGAGATGCAGAGCTGTTTGTTGGTGTGAGTTTTTCTAGTACGTTCTTTGTGTGGGTTTGTGTTTCTTGGAGAAGTTTGGCCTTAAATCTCTTTCAGAGTTTTTAATCCACGTTACAGTTTTATCTCCTCAGTGTTTCCTCAGCGCAGCAGGTCCGTCTGAAGCTCAGAGTTTGTCTTTGTTTCCCTGTTGGATCTGTGAGGGCTTCTGCCTTGTTCTAATGTTCGGATCACTGACTCGTGTGTGACTCTCATTTTGGTGTTTTTCATGGTTCTGTGTTTGTGGAAATAAATATAAATAAAAATATCTTGAAATGAATTCGAGTTTGTAAAATTTTTGCCCACTCTGCACAAGACAGGTGCAGACAGGTGCAGACAGGTGCAGAGAGGGTCTGCCTTAAACTTTAAACTGCGCAGATAGAACCGACCAATCAGAGAGAGGAAGAGGGAGAGGGGGCGGGACTAACTTACTTATATATGTCATATTTTTATACTTATGTCACATTTTTATAATAATGTGTCATATTTTTATACTTGTCATATTTTTATACTTATGTCACATTTTTACACTTATATATGTCACATTTTTACACTTATATATGTCATATTTTTTATACTTGTCATTTTTACACTTATATATGTCACATTTTTATACTTATATATGTCACATTTTTATACTTATATATGTCATATTTTTATACTTATATATGTCACATTTTTATACTTATATATGTCATATTTTTATACTTATGTCACATTTTTATACTTATATATGTCACATTTTTATACTTATATATGTCATATTTTTATACTTGTCACATTTTTACACTTATATATTATAACTTATATATGTCACATTTTTTATACTTATATTGTCACATTTTTTATATATATGTCACATTTTTATACTTATATATGTCACATTTTTATACTTATATATGTCATATTTTTATACTTATATATGTCACATTTTTATACTTATATATGTCATATTTTATACTTATATATGTCATATTTTTATATTATTTGTCACATTTTATACTTATGTCACATTTTTATACTTATATATGTCATATTTTTATACTTATATATGTCACATTTTTATACTTATATATGTCACATTTTTATACTTATATATGTCACATTTTTATACTTATATATGTCATATTTTTATACTTATATATGTCACATTTTTATACTTATATATGTCATATTTTTATACTTGTCACATTTTTACACTTATATATGTCACATTTTTATACTTGTTACATTTTTACACTTATATATGTCACATTTGTATACTTATGTCACATTTTTATACATATATGTCTATTTTTATACTTATATATGTCACATTTTTATACTTATATATGTCACATTTTTATACTTATATATGTCATATTTTTATACTTATGCCACATTTTATACTTATGTCACATTTTTATAATTATGTGTCATATTTTTATACTTATGTCACATTTTTATACTTATGTCACATCTTTATATTGTAATCATTTTATACTTATACATGCGATATTTTTAGACTTATATATGTCACATTTTTATACTTTTTATATTTATATATATTTTTATACGTTTTTAGTGTTTTATGTGCATTTATAAAACCAATACAATGTCGAATCAAGTCCTATTTCTATTTATTTTTATCAGAAAAAGAATTCGTGATAAATTGAACCTTTAAACTTGTGTATTTTTACCTTCGCCTTCGTGAGTTTTGTCCCCGCGCGGCGCCCGTACTTGTATGCTGTTTATGCGGAAGACGCGCTGAATGTAGTGCCTGACGAAGCTAGCTGACGTTCATCTCTTTATTTTAGACTTTTATTACATTTATTTAAGATGTAAACCTGTCAGAGCGAGTCAGCGCACATGGGGCCGTGGATTTAATTTATTTCACTGTAATTTTATCTGGATTTCCATGTTTTTTTTTACGCTTTTTGCTCCAGAAATTGACGTGGAGAGTGTGGAGCGTCGGAAGTGGGACGGCTCCTCTGCACAAGTTCACCTCATTTTAATTTATTTCTTTTTTTGTGTGTTTTTTTTTGTGTTAAATTATTAAAATGAAGCTGCGCGGGTCCGTGTTCGCCTCGTGGATTTTGCTGTGTGAGGTTTTGGCCGTGGCGTTGTTTTTGCGGGGTTTTTTCCCGGCTCCGGTCAAGTCTTCGTTCTCGTCCAAGAGCCGTCGGTCCGAGCTGCCCCCGGAGCCCGTGACAGGTGAGCCCCTGACAGGTGAGCCCCTGACAGGTGAGGCCGGTGACAGGTGAGCCCTGACAGGTGAGGCCCGTGACAGGTGAGCGCGGGTCCGGCCCCTCTGCTCCGGAACCTCCACCAAACTCACAGAAAATGTTTTTATAAATCACGTTAAACCAGAAAATCCTGATCTGCAGCTGACCTCGTTTACCTCTGCAGGGTCATCGTCAGTGCTGTGGAGTAACAGATTACATGTACCGGAGTAATCAGAGTACAAATGATGAGTAACTGTATTCAGTTACAGTTACTGTTTCAGTGAGTGGTAATTGGATTACAGTTACTTTGTTGAAATAAATGGATTACACGGAGGTATTTTAAATTTGTGGTGTTTCCTGCCGAGGGACGACAGATGGAAATGTTCAGTGTTGCTATAATCTGTCATATTTACACTGCAATGTTGTAGATGCTTCATTAATATGCACTGTCCCTATTAAATAAATAAATAAATACATAAATAAATAAAAATATTTTCCTGTTTTCACGTTTTGGGCTAAATCCCCCTTTTTTTCTTTTTTTTTTCTCAGTAATTCCACACATTGCTGGGAACTAAACTAGATCTAAACCAGGTCTAAACTAGATCTAAATTAGAGTTAAACCAGAACTAAACCAGGACTAAGACCAGGTCTAAACTAGTTCTAAACTAGATCTAAACTAGAAAAGCAGTCAGAGAGCGCAGACTCCGCCAAGGACTACAGTCCCCCTCATATTAATTGTGTTTTCCATAAATATTTGTCTCG